ATATGTAATTTTTTGTTTGTGTAGCTGCTTTGAAAGGCTGAAATAAAAGATGGGTATTTCAAGGAACTGGGCTGCCTATTGTCCACTCTCTAAAATATCTATCAGGCATAGGTCACAGAGTGAAAGTAAGGTGGGGTCCCTAACTTACGCACCACTCTTTAGATGAGTTAATAATTCATTTCGCCGTTCGTACCGGTTGTTTTATCACTCGGTCTTATCCCAATTAAATTAATTAATTAATTAAGTAATAAAAGATTTTTAGGATAGTGTCATGAAATGGTTAACCTAGAATGATTACATTTTGGTGGTGATCAGGATCCAATTAATTAAATAACTTAATTAATTAATTAATTATAGTTAATGCGACAATTTCCCGAGGATTAACTGGTCAGAAAGTGGGGCCAACCTTTAAGAATTGAGTGACATTTGGTGGTATCCGGATCCACTTAAGCGTTGATTTAATTGAATTAATTAAGTTAATAACATTTTCCACAGTGAGAGAATTGAGCTGCCTTGGCGGAGGTCTGCGCTCTCCGAGTGCTCTAGTTGTATTTAGTACGGACGGGTGCAGTCACGCACACGGTCACGGACGCACGCCCACAGATGCCTTCTCTATAATATTTGTTGATAACGCGCACTATGTGTTCTATAGACTAGCATACGGTAGAATTTTACAGCAGATTTTAAAACAACAAACTGAGGCGTGGGCATGTTATTACTAACGAAAAAACTTGCAAACCTCTGTCCCTAAATCAACAAACTAAATTAACATGCTGTGGGAAGCAGATAAAATGGCGAATCGTTCTATATACTCACTTACAGTCTGTGATTCGCAGTTTATGTCTTTTTTAGGTTTTACGGATACTACCGTTCAAGGGGGGTCGTTGTCGTATCAGGTACTACAGATATGTACCCGAGGTACATATATGTATACACAAAGTGTACCAGACTTGTACTACAGAAGTGTACCCCTAACCCTAACCCTAACCCTAACCTTAACCCTAACCCTAACTCTAACCCTAACCCTAACCCTAAACATACCTGATATAAAAATATAAACATAATACTAAACAACCTAAAACTACCTCGGGTACATATCTGTAGTACCTGCTACGACAACGACCCCATCTGCGATACTACCGTCAACTGCGTTACGGAATTGCTGTTCCTTTCATTGAGATAATCGATTTTAATCGCGATCGGCAGTCGTCGATACTTGGATATATATCTGTGTTTTAACACGTACGTGTAGGTAATCGATAAATAAACAAAGTTACTGATACAGCGAGTTAAACATTGGCATGAGAGGAGAAAACGACGTGCATTTCAGGGTGAAGTTCAGCAGCTCTTAATCTCGGACGATCCAAGCGCCGCGTACGAGTACACGAAAACCTACAGTCCGGATTGTGAGAGAGCAATACAGCGAGGCTATACGCTGATGAGCCAGGAGGAGATATTAGGATCATGGGAGATCGACGGCCAGACCGAGCAGCAGACAAATTATAGCGAATATGGCGGTGTATATGAGGTATAGATATTCCAGCTGTCGCTGACAAACACCTGACAAGCAGCATGCGTGGTCAGCGGCAGTGCGCATGCGTGGTTCAAGCTTCATGCCATCAAGAGTCCATAATGGGAAATTATATTCTAGTCTTTTTTAGAAATAAATTTTTCTATTATCGACTCTTGATGCCATCTATTTGCATCCAACACATTTTTAAATCACGCGTTTAACAGAAGCAGGTGTTCGGTCCCATTATCGATGTTCCGTTCCCAGTAGATACATAACATTAGTCGTATATAGCACAGCGAAACTTATAATGTTTGACTAACTTCTAAGTGCGCATGCAACTATACTTGAGAATAAATGTGTGTTCTATGAACGTGATCAGTGTAAATAAAGACTAATGTGCTCCTTCCCGATGTCTGTCTATTTTGATACATGAATTACCCATTTGTTGATTTCAGACAGGAGGTTCATATGGTGGAGGTGGTTCTATTGAATCAGGGGGTTCATATGATGGAGGTGGTTCTATCGAATCAGGGGGTTCACATGGTGGAGGTGGTTCTATTGAATCAGGGGGTTCATATGGTGGTGGTGGTTCTATTGAATCAGGGGGTTCACATGGTGGAGGTGGTTCTATTGAATCAGGGGGTTCACATGGTGGTGAAGGCTATGGCAAAGAAGATTCATATGAAGGAGAAGACTATCAGGAGAAAGAAGACTTATATAAGGGTGAAGGCCCATACGATGGAGGAGGATCAAATGAAACTTACAACGGTAATGCCACATACGACGCCGGTCAAGGTAGCACGGCACACAAAGAATTACCATCGCGTGTGCAGGAGCCAATTTACATTGAGATTCCAGGACCACCTGGACCACAAGGCTACGAAGGTGATCGAGGGCATCAAGGTCCTAAAGGAGAAAAGGTAATTATTATGTGCTGTGCATAAACGCGAGCAGGGAATGTGATGAAAGAATTAGCTTTAAACAATACTTACTTAGTTAGAACGCTGATGATTGATTAGAAAAATCAAATCTGTCGTTTTATTCTGTTCTTCTCACGCAATATTTACAGGGTGATCAAGGACGCGATGGGTATTCCGGGTCTCATGGTGTTCCTGGGCCACCGGGACATTTATTCCTTATCCCACTTGCTGGAGGTGGTGGCGGGGATGAGAAAGGGCCGGATAACAACGCTGCATCCCTTCGTCAGATGCTCGGCCAACACATGGTCAGTCAAGTGTCGATGTATCTGTCTACCTGTATGTCTGTTTGTCCTACCAGTCATCCAGCCACCCATCCATCCATCCATCCATCCGTCCGTCCGTCCATCCGTCCGTCCGTCCGTCCGTCCGTCCATCTATCCATCCATCCATCCATCCATTCATCCGTCCGCCCGTCCGTCCGTCCATCCATCCATCCATCCATCCATCCATCCATCCATTCATCTACCCATTCATCCATCCATCCGTCCGCCCATCCATCCATCCATCCATTCATTCATGCATCCAGCCAGCCATCCATCCATCCATCGCTCCATCCATCCATCCATCCATCCATCCATCCATCCATCCATCCATCCATCCATCCATCCATCCATCCATCCATCCATGCTATCCCATTCATTCATTCTATGCCATCCATCCATTGCATCCATCCATCCATCCATCTGCTCATCCATCCATCATCCATCCATCCATCCAATCCATTCCATCCATCCATCCATTGCCATCCATTCCATCCATCCATCCATCCATCCATCCTACCCATCCATCCATCCATCCATCCATCCATCCATCCATCCATCCATCCATCCATCCAAATGGCGGACATTTCTCCGCGTCTCTCGGCAGTGCCCCCCCCCTCTAACGCAACCAAATGACCGAAAGTTCTCCCCTGATCTCCAATAATCCCATTTCTGCCTTCGTCACAGTATATATTATAGATTTGTTTACGTTTACATGTGTTTACATGTGAACATACGTATCGGTACGTTTTTATATCCAGATGTCCATGCAAGGCCCGCCCGGAGCTCCCGGCCTTGCAGGATTACCGGGACCTCATGGAACATCGGGCGCTGAGGGCATAAAAGGAGAGGAGGGCGACGTTGGTCCGATGGGACCACGTGGTTTTAGAGGTCCAATGGGCCCACAGGGGCGGACAGGAAAGAGGGTAATGTTTGCTTTATATTACTGCAAAATATGCTGATACATGTGTGTTGTGTACATATACGTGTACTGTCCGTTCAAAACAAATATCAGCATGTATCTTTGCAAAGTGTAAAAGAATGATTGCGTTGCGCTGTTCAGGGAACGCCAGGACGAGATGGAGAGCGTGGAACACCAGGACCTCCAGGACCCCATGGTCCTATGGGATACCCCGGTCTACTGGGCATCCCTGGAGAGAAAGGCGAATGGGTAAGTTCACTGTAATGCTTAGTACAACAAAATAGATGATGTTCAATTTGTATATCAATGTAATATCCATATTGTATATAAATGTAATATCCACATTGTATATCAATGTAATATCCACATTGTATATCAATGTAATATCCACATTGTATATCAATGTAATATCCTCATTGTATATCAATGTAATATCCTCATTGAAAAATGACGTCATACGCGTTCAATATCTAGGAATAGAGCTATACACTAGTCATGCATCGTATGGCAACACAAACTATGAGTTGTGACCATTTAGTTTATATCGCTGTTTTCCAGGGAAGGAGAGGAATTCAAGGTCTTCCCGGATTGCCAGGACACGACGGCCCTCCTGTAAATTATTAATAGAAAATAACAGCTTACAGAAATACGTGTAAAGGGCAGATGGGGCTATACGTCTCCCCGCCACATTTGTCTACAAAAAACTTGCTGACGGCTATTTTTCCTATATCAAACAGAGGCTAATCGGATGCATGCCTTGTACTTCATGTAGCAACAGAGTTTGATAGGCATAGAATAGACATGGGCATATACACGGTAAAGCCAAAAATATATATGATCGAATAACGAAACTATATTTGTAGAAAACGAAAAATGAGGGACCGTAAATAAAGTCTATCAACCTTATAAGCAGTCCAATTATATATCTTGAAACGTCCCGCGGTTATGTAGGTTTATGGTGATCTCATCTCATTATGTTGTGAATTCGATGAGATTCGTATCATTTAATATAATAGGGCGAAGATGGCTCACCGGGGCAAGCAGGCATTCCAGGAGAGCAGGTAAAATATTAACGTATTCAGGATCGTAGCCTTGACGCTAATTTGTCATGTTTAGTATTTTCGTTAGGAAGAATATTGGTCACTCTGTCTATAATATAATACTACATTACATATATATACATATATAATGTCGTATATCTTGAATGAGCAAGCAGCCTGACAGAGGGATATAATGTCCTCAAAAGCTTCCATCTCAAATATGACACCGCATTTCTATATATAATATATATATATATATATATATATATATATATATATATATAT